CCATTGAGATAACCATATGATTTTTATCCTTCATTCTTTTATATGAGAATTTTTGTACGTTGGACCATTATTGGATTCCAGGGATAAATCCCACTTAATCATGGTGTGTGATCCTATAAATATGCTCTTGGATTTAATTTGTTAGTATTTTAAAAAATAAATTTATTTATTTTTGGCTGCATTGGGTGTTCGTTGCTGTGCGGGGTTTTTCTCTAGTTGCGGCTAGCAGGGGTTACTCTTCATCGTGGTGCGCGGCCTTCTCACTGTGGTAGCTTCTCTTGTTGCGGAGCACAGGCTCTAGGCGTGTGGGCTTCAGTTATTGTGGCACGTGGGCTCAGTAGCTGTGGCTCACAGGCTCTACAGCGCAGGCTCAGTAGTCGTGGCGCATGGGTTTAGTTGCTACGCAGCATGTGGGATCTTCCCGAACCAGGGGTCGAACCTGTGTCCCCTGCATTGGCAGGCGGATTCTTAACTACTGCACCACTAGGGAAGTCCTGGTAGTATTTTATTAAGTATTTTTGCATCTGTATTCATCAGAGATATTGATCTGTAATTTTCTTTTCTTGTGGTGTCTTTATCTGGCTTGGTATCTGGGTAATACTGGCCTCATAAAATGACTTTGGAAGTGTTCCCTTCTCTTCAATTTTTTTAGTTTGAGAAGGATTGGTATTAATTCTTTAAATGTTTGGTAGAATTCAGTGAAACAATCTGCTCCTGGGTTTTTCTTTTTGGGCATATTTTTGATTACTGATTCAATCTTCCATTAATTATTTATGTGTTCAAATATTCCACTCTTGCCACATCTATTCAGCATAGTACTGGAAGTCCTAGCCAGAGCAGTCAGGCAACAAAAAGTAATAAAAGGCATCCAACTTGAAAAGGAAGAAGTAAAACTGTCACTATTTACATATGATATGGTATTATATATAAAAAACCCTGAAGACTCCACCAAAAACTGTTACAACTAATAAATGAATTCAGTAAAGTTGTGGGATACAAAATCAATATACAGAAATCTGTTGCTTTTCTATACACTGATAACATATGAGAAAGAGAAATTCAGAAAACAATTCTATTTACATTTCATCAAAAAGGTAACATACCTAGAAATAAATTTATTCAAGGAGGTAAAAGGCCTTTACACTTAAAACGCTTTAAGACATTGATACAGAAACTGAAGAAGATACAAATAAATGGAAAGAAGTTCCATCCTCATGGATTGGAAGACTTAACATTGTTTAAATATCCATACTAGCAAAAGCAATCTACAGATTTAATGCAATCTCTATCAAAATTCCAATGGTATTTTTCGCAGAAATTGAGCTAAGAATCCTAAAATTTGTATGGAAACACAAAAGATCCCAAATGGTCAAAGCGATCTGAAGTAAGATAAAGAAAGCTGGAGACAACACACTCCCTGATTTCACACTATATTACAAACTATATTACAAAACAGTATGGTATGGGCATAAAAACAGACACAAAGATCAATGAAATGGAATAGAAATCCCTGAAATAAACCCATGCATATATGTCAATTAACTTATGACAAAGGAGCCAAGAATATACAATGGGGAAAGGGCAGTTTCTTCAATAAATCATGTTGGGAAAATTGGACAGCCAGGGACTTCCCCCGTAGTACAGTGGTTAAGAATCTGCCTGCCAATGCAGGGGACATGGGTTCTATGCCTGGTCCGGGAAGATCCCACATGCTGGGGAACAACTAAGCCCGTGTGCCACAACCACTGAGCCTGTGCTCTAGAGCCTGTGAGCCACAACTACTGAGCCCATGTGCCACAAGTACTGAAGCACATGCCTAGAGCCTGTGCTCCACAACAAGAGAAGCCACCGCAATGAGAAGCCCACACACTGCAACAAAGAGTAGCCCCCGCTAGCCACAACTAAAGAAAGACCACACACAGCAACGAAGACCCAACGCAGCCCAAAATATATTAATTAATTAATTAATTTTAAAAAATTGGACAGCCATATGCAAAAGAATGAACCTGGACACCTACCTTACACAATACACCAATCCCATTCAAAATGGATAAAGACTTGAATGTAAGACCTGAAACCAAAGAACTCCTAGGAGGAAACAAAGGCAGTAAGCTCTTTGACATCAGTCGTGGTGGTGATTTTTTGGATTTGACACCAAAAGAAAGGTAACAAAAGCAAAAATAAACAAGTGGGCCAACATCAAACTGAAAGGCTTCTGCACAGCAAAGGAAACCATCAACAAAATGAAAGACATCCTACTGAATGGATGAAAATATTTGCAAATTATGTACCTGATAAAGGGCTAATGTCCAAAATACATAAAGAACTCATACAACTCCATATTAAAAACAAAAGAAAACAAAAAACCAATCCTATTAAGAAATGGACAGAGAAACTGAATTGACAGTTTTCCAAAGAAAACATACAAATGGCCAACAAGCACATGAAAAAGTGCTCAATATCACTAATCATAAGGGAAATGCAAATCAAAATCACAATGAGATATCACTTCATGCCTGTGAAAATGTCTATCATCCCAAAGAGAAGAGATAACAAGTGTTAGTGAAGATGGAGCCCTTGTGTATTGTTGCTGGGAATGGAGGTTTGTATAGCCACTATGGAAAAAAAAATATGGATGTTTCTCAAAAAATTAAAATTAGAACGACCATGTGACCCAGCAACCATACTTCTGGGTATATATTCCCATGTTAGTTCCAGCATTATTCACGATAGGCAAGATATAAATACATAAAGAAGTTTGGAATACTATTCAACCACAAGAAAGAAGGAAATCCTGCCATTTGCAACAATTTGGATGAACCTTGAGGACATTATGCTAAGTGAAATAAGTCAGACAGAAAGGTAAACACTTTATGATATCACTTATATGTGGAATCTAAAAACGCCAAATTCAAGAAACAGAGAATGGTGGTCACCAGAAGCCAGGGTTGGGGAAAATGGGGAATTATCAGTCAAAGGGTACAAACTTTTAGCTATAAAGTTAACAAGTTTTGTACAGTAATCTAATGTACAGCATGGTGATTATAGTTGATAATACCATATTATATACTTGAATGTTGCTAAGAAAATAGGTCTTAAATGTTCTCATCACAAAGAAATGGTAACTACCTGACAGTAAGAAGGTGTGTTAGCTAATGCTATGTTGGTAATAATTTTGCAATATATAAATGTATCAAATCAACACATTGTACATCTTAAACTTATACAATGTTCTATGTCAATTATATCTCAATAAAACTGGAAACAAATAATAGATTGAACTGTACCTATTTCTAACACTGAGAATGAGATAATGAAGGCCCCTGTCACCACTTCTACTCAACACTGTACTAAAAGTCATAGTCAATTAAGTAAGGCAAGAAAATAAAAGACATAAAATTTGGAAAAGTAAGTGGCTTTCACTCAGATACCAAATAATCATGTAGCTAGGAAATTCAAATAAATCTACCAAAAAAGCTATTACAACTTATTAGTGAATTTAACAAGTTTTAGAAGGCTTACAGAATACAAGATAAATGTATAAAAATCATTGGAATGTGTATTACTAGCCATGATCAAGTAGAAACTGAAATTTAAAAAATACAATTTACATTAATATCAAATAAATAATCTAGCAAATAAAAACTCTAAGGAAAAGTAAAGTATACTTATAAGTTTTTAGTAATGCTGACTTATTAAAACTTTCTATGCTACATAAATCTGGAACCTCTGTTTAACATAAAAGTGGATCTGAAAGAGAAAAATAATTTTATTCATATAGTTAAAAGCTATATAGGAAACAAATACTATTTTATAAAACCATTATTTAATGAGCAAATGCACGCTTTATAAACTACTAAATCATAACTTGTTTTATACCTTTGGAAAAGAAGTGGAAAGAAAAACCGTATCGTTTGTTTAGGGTGAATCTTTCCTTTCTCTAAAAGAAACTATGGACTATCACATTATTACCTAAAGGGTCCGTTCTCAAATGCAACCAAGTGCATTTTATAAATGCACTTTTACAAGGCTAACGTTACAGTTTTTTATATGTGTAACAACATTGGTGACTCAAATTTTAATAACACTGGATTATGTTGAGAGAATGAGAAGATGAAAGTCCCTTAGCTGTATAATTCACCAGCATGTGGAAAAGCAATAATAAGTTATACTAATTGTTTATCTTCTAAAAGTCAATGATCTAAATTAAACTATCCATGCATATAATATAGCTAATGTACTATTATTGTTTTCATTTATTCAATGAACAATTACCACCATGTGCCAGGCACTGTTCTAGGCCTAGGGATGAATTCATAAGTGAACAAAACAAAGATCCTGGTTCTTGTAGAGTTTCCATTAAAAGTTCACATAGTAGACTTCATTCTTCCCCCAAATGATAAAATCATAAGGTGACTTAATAACATATATAAAAATCATTGTGGATATACGTCCCTTTCCCTGTATTTTTCAAAAAAAAAAAACTTTCAAGAAGTAAAGGTATTATAAATCAGATTATATTTTCTCAAATATTTTGAGGCAAAATCACAACACCCTGATACCCTGAAAAAAAATGCTGCCTTTGAAATGAATGCAGTAATAAAATTACAACAGAAGAAAAATTTATTCTTTTAGGGACATGAGAAAAATTCCATGAACTATGCCAAATGTAGCTGGAGTAAATATATACAGACCCTCAATGGTAGTACTTTCATAGAATGAGTCACGGTGAGTCAGCCACACACATAGGTGAACTGACATTGTAAATGCAGAAAATCAGGATATATAGTCAGAAGGAAAATTTTGAAATGGCAAAAAAAAAAAGTGCACTTTATCTGATAACTTTAGTTTTAACGTATACTTAAATATGTAAGGTGTAATATTATCATCCAAATGTTACTCATGGTTTCCCACTGTTTTCTGGCTCTCCCTAACTTTTAAGATTTATTCCAATATTAGTTTTACAAGGTCTAACATAAAAGCCTAAGAGTTCCAATCAGAAACAATATTTTATTTAATAAAAACTATCAAGAAATTATTATCAGTAGAATTTGTTAAGGAATATCAGCATAAGAATTAGCCTTTTATAACATAATATTTTATGCCAACAAATCCCCTACTTCTATTTAGATATGAAATAGTATACATACACTTGGTCCCTGGAGCCACAGGTAGGGCTATGGTAAAAGAATTTCAACAGCTAATCACTTTTCACACTGTGCTATATAATTCTTTGATTTTCTTTCACTTTAGCAAATATTTATTGACTGCTAATTCTGTGCTACTCTTGTTCTAAACACTGAGGACAGAACATTTAACAAGATGGTCAAGGTACCTACTCCCAAGGAGTTCACATTCTAGTTGGAGAAAATATACAATAAGCAAACAGATTTTAAAACTTAGTATAATTTCAATCAGAATTAGTGCTAAGAGAAAAATCTCACAGGAAGATGGGATTGAGAGTGATAGGGCTCCATGACACACAGGTGGTAAGAGAGGATTATTTCTTACGATCTTTGTCTTTCCTTATACTGGTACACTCCTGAGTCTGCAATGTTCCAGAGGCAGTCTTCATTTTATAAAAATCTATTATTTCTTCTTCCAATTGTCTTCTCTCCTCCTGCAGTTTCATTGTCTCCTCTTGTTGGACCCTCTTAAGATGCTCAAACTTGTCCTGTAGCTGTGAAACAAATCTGCAGTTGTGACTCAAAGCACGCTATGGTGGCACATCCCCAAGAACATGCTTCTCTTTTTCTGGTTATCAAACATACCCTAATCATCAGAGTAGCACTTGATCTTAATAACAGTTTCAAAAATTATCTCTGCTGCAGTCATATTGCTCGTAATTACATTTTCAGACCTGAGAAGTAAATGAGCTTCTAGATACAATGGCGAGAAGAATGATTGCAAAGGCTGGGGATGTGGGAGTGTGGTATTTATAAATGATGGCAAAATCATTGAGAAAACTTTTTACTTAAAGATGGGAGGTTGAAGGTAGAAATCAGAGAAAGTTAAACTTTATCTTAATACATAAACATTTCAAATGTTAACTACTCTGGTGAGAAACTCGAACTTTTCCTGCAAATCAGGTTCAAGGTAAGGATGTGCCCCCTCACTACTCCTTTTCAACATTGTACTGGAAGTCCTTGCTAATGCAATAAAGTAAGAGAAGAAAAATAAAATGTATACAGATTGGGAAGAAAGACATAAAGCCGTTATTGTTTGCAGATAACATAATCATCTATGTAGCAAATCCAAAAGAACTGACCAAAAAACTCCTGGAACTAATTAGCGATTATAGCAAGGTTGCAAGACATAAGGTTATTATATAAAGGTTCATTGCTTTCCTATATACCAGCAGTGAGCAAGTGGAATTTCAAGTAAAAAACGCAATAACAATTGCATTAACCCCCCCAATGAAATATTTAGGTATGAATCTAACAAAATACATATAAGATCCATATGAAGAAAACAACAAAACCCTGATGAAAAAAATTAGAGAAGAACAAAATAAATAACTATTTCATGTTTGTGGATAGGAAGACTCAATATTGTCAAGTTGTCAGTTCTTCCCAACTTGACCTACAGATTCATTGCAATCCTAATCAAAACCCCAGCAAGTTATTTTATAGATATTGACAAACTGATTCTAAAGGTTTTATGCTATAGTGATCTGACTAAAACTACAGTAATCACGATAGTGTGATATTGGTGAAAAAAACAGATCAATGCAACAAAATAGAGAACCTAGAAATAGATGCAAATATATTTAGCAAATTGATCTTTGACAAAGGAGCATAGGTAGTACGAGGAAAGGTACTCTCTTCAACAACTTGTGCTGAAACAACTGAACATTCACGTGAAAAAAAAAAAACCCAAATAATCTAGACACAAACCTTCACAAAAATTAAACTCAAATGGATCATAAATCTAAATGAGGGGACAGAAAAAGTATTCTATGGAAATGAAAAGACAGCTGGTGTAGCAATACTTGTATCAGCCAAAATAGGCTTTAAAGCAAAGACTGTAACAAAAGACAAAGAAGGACATTACATAATGATAAAGGGATCAGTTCATCAAGAAGATATAACAATTGTAAATATAGATGGACCCAACATAGGAGCACCCAAATACATAAAGCAACTATTAACAAACTTAAAGGAAGAAATTGACAGTAGCATAATCACATTAAGGGACTTTAACAATGCACTCACATCAATGGACAGATTATCCAGACAGAAAACCAATAAGGAAACGGTCTCAAATGACACACACACACACACACACACACACACACACACACACATATAGAATACTCTGCCCAAGAGCAGCAGAAATATACATTCTTTTCAAGTACCCATGGAACTTTCTCTAGGATAGACACATGCAGACCACAAAAGAAGTCTCAATAAATTTAGAAGAGTGAAATCATATCAAGCCTCTTTTCTAACCACAGCACTATGAGGTAGAAATCAACTATAATAAAAATACTGCAAAAAACACAAACATGTGGAGGCCAAACAATATGCTGCTAAATAACCAATGGGTCACGGAAGAAACAAAGAGGAAATTTAAAAATACTGGAGATAAATGAAAGCAGAAACACATTTTTCCAAATTCTATGGGATACAGCGAAAGCAGTGCTGTGAGGGAAGTTTATGGCAATACAAGCCTACCTCAGGAAACAAGAAAAATATCTAGTATAAACAACTTAACATTACACATAAACAAATTAGAAAAGAAGAACTAACAAAACCCAAAGTTAGCAGAAGGAAATAAATCATAAAGGTTGACCTATGAAATAAATGAAATAGAGGCTTAAAAAGTAGAAAAGATCAATGAAACTAAGAGCTGGTTCTTTCAAAAGATAAACAAAATTGATAAACCTTTAGCTAGACTCATAAGAAAAGAAAGAGAGGGCCCAAGTAAAATCAGAAATGAAAAAAGAGAAGTTACAAATGATACCACAGAAATACAAAGGATCATAAGAGATTAATATGAAAAGTTATATGCCAATAAAATGGGCAACCTAGAGGAAATGAATAAATTTCTAGAAATGTACAATTTCCCAAGACTGAATCAGGAAGAAATTCAAAATATGAACAAATTACCAGTAGTAAAATTGAATCAGTAATTTTAAAACTCCCAACAAACAGAAGTCCAGGACCAGATAATTTGACAGGTGAATTCTACTAAACACTTAAAGAGATAATGCCTATCCTTCTCAAACTATTCCGAAAAGCTTAAGAGGAAGGAATACTTCTGAACCCATTCTACAAGGCCAGCATTACACTGATACCAAAACCAGACAAAGAAACCACACACACACAAAATTACAGGCCAATATCGCTGATGAACATAGAGGCAAAAATCCTCAACAACATATTGGCAAATCAAATTCAACAATACATCAAAAGGATCCTATACCATGATCAAGCAGGATTTATCCCAGGGATGCAAGGATGATTCAATACTCACAAATCAAACAATGTGATATATACTATATTAACAAAATTGAAGAATAAAATCATATGATCATATCAATAGATGCAGGAAAAGCTTTTGACAAAATTCCACATCAATTTATGATAAAAACTCTCAACAAATTGGGTATAGATGGAACATAATAACCTCAACATAATAAAGGCCATATATGACAAACCTACAACCAACATGGTACTCAGTTGTGAAGAGCTGAAAGTATTTCCTCTAAGATCAAGAACAAAACAAGGATGTCCACTTTCACCACATCTATTCAACATAGTATTGGAAGTCCTAGCCAGAACAGTCAGACAAGAAAAAGAAATAAAAGGCATCTAAATTAGCAAGGAAGAAGTAAAACTGTCACTGTTTGCAGAGGACATGACACTATATGTAGAAAATCCTAAAGATGTCACCAAAAAACTGTTAGAACTAGTAAACGAATTCAGTAAAGTTGCAGAATACTAATCTACAACAAAGGAGGCAAGAATGTACATGAGGGAAAGACAGCCTCTTCAATAAACGATGTTGGGAAAACTGGACAGCTACATGCAAAGGAATCAAACTGGACTACTTTCTGATGCCATATACAAAAATAAACTCAAATTGGATTAAAGATATAACCGTAAGATCTGAAACCACAAAACTCTAGACAAAACATAGGCAGTAAGCTCTTTGACATCGGTCTTATCAATTTTTTTGGATATGTATCCTCAGGGACGGGAAACAAATGCAAAAATAAACAAATAGGACTTCATCAAACTGAAAAGCTTTTGCACAGTGAAGGAAGTTATTAACAAAATGAGAAGGCAGCCTACTGAACGGGAGAAGACATTTTTAAACAATATATCTAATAAGGGGTTAATAATCAAAATATATAAAGAATGCATACAACTCAACATAAAAAAAACCCCAAACAACCCAATTACAAAATGAGCAGAGGAACTACACAGACATTTTTCCAAAGAAGATATGGAGATGACCAACAGGTACATGAGAAAATGCTCAACATCACTGATCATCAGGGAAATGCAAATCAAGTTCACAATTAGATATCTCTTCACACTCTTCAAAATGGCTATTATCCAAAAGATAACACTTTGGCAAGGATGTGGAGAAAAGGCAACACTTGTGCAGAATTAGTGGGAATGTAAATTGATACGGTCACTATGGAAAATAGGACAGAGCTTCCTCAAAAAATTAAAAATTGAACAACAGTACGATCCAGTAACTCCACTTCTGGGTATTTTTCTGAAGAAAACAAAAGCACTACATTGAAAAAATATATGCACCTCTATGTTCATTGTAGCATTATTTACAATAGCCAAGATATGGAAGCAACATAAGTGTCCATCAATAGATGAATGGATAAATAAGATGTGGTATATATATACAATGGAAAATTAGCCATAAAAAAGAATGAAATTTTGCCTTTTGTGACAACATGGATGGACCTGGAGGGTATTATGCTAAGTGAAATGAGTCATATAGAGAAAGATAAATGCCATATGATTTCACTTATACACAGAATCTAAAAAACAATTCAAATGAACAAACATAATAAAACAGAAACAGACTCATATATACAGAGAACAAACAGGTGGTTGCCAGAGAAGAGTGGCATTAGAGGATGAGTGAAATAGGTGAAGGAGATTAAGGGATACAAACTTCCAGTTATAAAATAATGTAATGGGCATGTAATGTACAGCATAAGGAATATAGTGAATAATATTGTAAAACCTTGTATGGTGACAGATGGTAACTGGGACATCATGGTGATCATTTTGTAATGTATAAAAATATTCAGGGGCTTCCCTGGTGGCGCAGTGGTTAAGAATCCGCCTGCCAATGCAGGGGACACGGGTTCGAGCCCTGGTCCAGGAAGATCCCACATGCCGCGGAGCAACTAAGCCCATGCACCACAACTACTGAGCCTGCGTGCTGCAACTACTGAAGCTCGTACACCTAGAGCCCGTGCTCCTCAATGAGAAGCCACCACAATGGGAAGCCCATGCACTGCAACGAAGAGTAGCCCCTGCTCGCCGCAACTAGAGATAGCCCGTGTGCAGCAACGAAGACCCAACACAGCCAAAAATAAAAATAATAAAATAAAATAAATAAATTAAAAAAAATCAATCACTGTTGTATACCCGAAACTGATATAATATTGTAAGTCAAATTATACTTCAGTTTAAAAAATAAAAAAAGTAAATTCTCCAACTGCTCTAGAAAAAATAAGATTACAGATGGCAAAATTTTAAAGGCTGTATCCAAAACCTATATGGTAAATAGCTACTTTTTGAAGAATAGCAAGTATCGTCCAACAAAATCATCTAAACTCTTGAGATGAAAACCTCCAACTTAATAGGACACCTAAACTTGAATACAAATTATATCAAACTAGCAGGACTTGCCTCTTTTTCAGCTTCTTTAAATGCTGTTTCTTTCTCCTTCACTCTCTGCATAAACTTCTGTTTCAACTCTTCTTCTGCCCTCTGACACTGATTCAAGAAATCCTGCCTTTTGGCTTCATAGATCTCTTGAAAACTGAAAAGAAATTTGTGTTACTTTTATATTAAAATGTTAATATAAATAAACATGTAAACATATATATTGTTTATTAATATAAGTAGCTCATACAACTCAACAAGAAAAAATCCAAACAACCCAATCGAAAAATAGGCAGAAGACCTAAATAGTCATTTCTCCAAAAGAAGATATACAGATGGCCAACAGGCACATGAAAAGATGCTCAGCATCCCTAATCATTAGAGAAATGCAAATCAAAACTGCAACGAGGTACCACCTCACACCGGTCAGAATATCTATCATAAAAAAAAATCTACAAACAACAAAGGCTGGGGAGGGTATGGGGAAAAAGGAACCCTCCTACACTGTTGGTGGGAAAGTAAATTGGTACTATGGAAAACAGTATGGACATGCCTCAAAAAACTGAAAACAGTGTTGCTATATGATCCAGCAATCCCACTTATGAGCATATATCCAGACAAAACTATAGTTCAAAAAGATACATGCACCCCTGTGTTCATAGCAGCACTATTCACAAGAGCCAAGACATGGAAACAACCTAAATGTTCATCAACAGAAGAATGGATAAAGAAGAGGTAGCACATATATACAATGGAATACTATGCAGCCATAAAAAAGAATGAAATAATGACATTTGCAGCAACATGGATGGACCTAGAAATTCTTCACACTAAGTGAAGTAAGTCAAAAAGAGAAAGACAAATACCATATGGTATCACTTATATGTGGAATCTAAAATATGACACAAATGAACTTATCTATGAAATAGAAAGAGATTCCCAGACATAGAGAACAGACTTATGGTTGCCAAAGGAGAGGGGCGAGGGGAGGGATGGACTGGGAGTTTGGGATTAGCAGATGCAAACTATTATATATAGAATGGATAAACAACAGGGTCCTACTCTATAGTACAGGGAACTATATTCAATAACCTGTGATAAACCATAATGGAAAAGCATATGAAAAAGAATATATTTATATCTCTCTATATCTGAATCACTGTGCTATACAGCAGAAATTAACACAACATTGTAAATCAACTATACTTCAATAAAATGCATATATATATATATATATTATGTCACATATAAGGACATTTACCAATATTCTCTCATGTGTAGAAATGAAAATTTCTACATCACGAGATGTAAAAAAGTGAGGTGCCATATTGAATATAAGTATAGAGAGTGCATATATAGTAAGTACTCACATTTTGAAACACTTAAAATATGTTTTGTTTCCCCTACCACTTTTTATTATATCACACTTCTTCACATCTTCTGACAACAAAATTTGGGCGAACATCTAATTTGTGAGGTTCTCAAAATAATTAAAATAAGGCCAGGCGTCTTTCAAAATATGATGCATGTAAGATAGCCAGTTCAATTCTGGTTGCCTTCAAAGTACTGTAACTAATATAACTGGATTGCTCTACACTGTCATCCTTCCGCAGCACAAATCCTATTCCTCCTCAATATAGCTAAATACACCTGCTCTTAAACTATTTTCACTTGACTTCCACTGAAACTGAGTCCCCCGAAAACCTAGTTCCTCTGCCAAATTTATGATGGAGCTCTCCAATCCAAATGTTATTCCCTTTCTTGTCCAACACCTGTTCCCCTCAAGATTGAGGAATATCAAAGAAAAGGGAAGATTGAAACCGAGCGGGAGGTTGTGGGACCCTCCCAGGCATAAAAGCCTTGCCGTGTACCCCCTTTCTTGTTTGTGGGAAAAAGGCTTTCTGCCTCCTAGACCTTCCCTGAGTTCCAAAGGGCAGATTCAAACAGTTACTGGGAGGAGAGTGAGGGAATGCAGAAAGAAACAACAGTGCAGCATGGGGCCCTGGGCCTGGTTCCTCCTGGGGCAGGGGCGGGAGTGTGTGTATGACAATCTGATACAGATCTCCTGAGTTCTTATACAGGAACTAACGTGCCTACCCAGGTGGAGGATGATAATTTCACGCTGAGCACAAGCATGGAGACCCAGACTGGTAGGAACCAGAAGGCTGATGACTGAACATCACCCTGTTACCTCACCATCAACCAATCAGAGGCGGGTTACACACCCTACAGCCCTCCCCCACAAGTTTTGCCTATAAAAACTTCTTCCCTGAAACCCATCAGAGAGTTCAGGTCTTTTGAGCATGAGCCACCCATTCTCCTTGCTAGGTCCTTGCGATAAACCTTTCTCTGCTCCAAACTCCAATGTTTTGGTTTGTTTGGCCTCACTGTGTGTCGTGCACGTGAACTTGGATTCGACAACACCATGACATTACACTGCTGCTTTTCCTCTTTCCTCCATGCAATCCTCAGTACCCTTTTCAATATCCTTTGCCATCTTATACCAATTTTTACTAATATTTGCAAATCTCTTTCCTGAGCTTCTGTTCCATATAAAATCTACTTTTTCTTTTGGATACACATTTCAGCACATACACATATTGGATGCATATAAACGAGCCCTTGCATTATGTTGCTCCTACTAACTCTCCATCTAAGTCTGAAGATGATGAAAACCCACAAAATTTAGGATGTGAGAAGTACAGCTATTCTCATTCCGAAATAATCATATCTCATCGTGGTAGGGGATTTCTAAGTCACCCGTCATCTTGTTTGAGCAAGATCTCCACTCACCTAACTGGCTGGTTGTCTGGACCCACATCAGTAAATCCCATTTTCTGAAGTTTGCTGCACCTATAACGTTCATAATGCCACGTGTGGGTTTGTTCTTTCAAGTCTTCCATGTTTGTACAAAGAAGCACATCCCGGAGCTTAACAAAGTCACAGTGATTTTCATTTTCCACTAGGCAGAAAAATAATAAAGCCACAAAGCTTATTATCAATCCCTATCACTTTCTAAGTATTCTCGAATGAGCTAAGAGATCGTTCAGATTAATAGCTATAATTCTTTTAACCATGTAACTATGGTTATATGGTACATACCAATTATAGGTAGAGTTTATTTATAGACCAGGAAATTTGCTTGAAATTTATTAGCCAAAGAATAAATAGGAAACACTGAAATAACATGTAATATTAGTAGGTGGCATAAACTTTCATTAATAATTATGTTAGTATTTTTCAAATGAATATGCTCAAGGTATTTTACAGAGCACTAAAAAAGAATATAATATTTCACTAAAGTAAATAATTTTATTAAATTAAATCCTGCTAACATAAAGGTCTTAACAACTATGCATGATTTAGTTATTAAACTATATTTATACACCATATTTATGAGAATGAATTAGTCAATTTTCAAAATCACTCAATAAATTCACATGGCTCTCCACTGTGTTTGTCATATCCAAAAGACTGAGCACAATACTTTGTGCATTGTGTATGATATTGTAACCAAATGTAATATTCATTAAAATATGTTGTTTTTAAGTACATTTCATAAATTTAAAAATTTGTAATATATTAACTGAAAATAACGTTTGGAAACTAGTCCCCAATAATTAGTATCACAAGTATACGAATCAGACAATAAATGACCGCTATTACACTATTCTAACTCATCATGATGCTAGATAACTAATATAAATGTCTAGGTATAATTTATCCAAAAATGAATTGTATTACTTTATTTTATTTTATTTTTTGTGCTACACGGGCCTCTCACTGCTGCGGCCTCTCCCGTTGCGGAGCACAGGCTCCAGACACGCAGGCCCAGCGGCCACGGCTCACGGGCCCAACCGCTCTGCGGCATGTGGGATCCTCCCGGACCGGGGCACGAACCCGTGTCCCCTGCATCGGCAGGCGGACTCTCAACCACTGCGCCACCAGGGAAGCCCTGTATTACTTTATTTTTAAAACGGTTTTCCATCCCTTTTTATAGGGACCACTTTAAAATGCTTTATAAATTAGGTAGCAATTAACTTACAAAACATGTTTCAAGTACCAATATTTATGCTTCTGTGTTGTTCAGAGTTCTTTTGTTCAAAGAACTTTCCAACATTCTGAATGTGATGGTTTATGTATAGAGAGATAATCTGCATATGGCAGATAGGGGAAATGAGGAGGTTCTGCCCAGTTTCTGAATTTTTGCCTAAAGCACCATCCAGAAAACTCCCGTGAGAATAGGTTACAATCAAAATACGCATTATCTTAAATGAAACATAATCTGTGCTCCTTATCAGTAACTATTAATTTGCTGTTTAGCGAGAGTTACCAATATTGACTCAAGTTAAAATATTTTGTTTTATATATGTATAGTTATATTTTATATAATTTTTATAATTATATATCATTCCAGAGCAAGCCTGCACATCTTTGTTACCTTTACCTTGTAAAACTCCCCAAGGGTACTGACGGCCTCTGACCATTCTTTTTCCAACTTTCACTTCATCTATACTTCCTACTACAGCAAAAGGCAAGAGTCCCTAGAAAGTAAGTACAATTTTAATCATGTTTCCTTATACCAATATAACTTACTCTGTTAATCTTATTTCTGTTATGGAAACAACAGAGACAATAATATCATCATAAGTTTATTCAAACAAGTGATTTATCTTGCCTCAGATTTTATGACTTCACATTAAATATGTGCAAATTAATTTCTGTAAGCATTTGTGCAAGATCATGCACACAATTGAAAACTACCTACTGAGTACAGCCTAAAGCAAGGCATTCTGTGGGGAATACAAAGAAAATAGTTTTTGGTAGACATATAATTTTTCTCACATTATCTTTACCCTGAAACACAATGAGCAAATCACTTTTAACTCCAGTATAAAAGCTAAAAGACAAAATTAAGAAAACTCTAATAATTAGTTAAATGAAATATAACATAAAGCATATTAATAAATAATACTATATAGAAAATGGAAAAGAAAATTTAAAAAGAAAAAAAGGAATGCAAATCAGAAAGGAATAAGTAAAAGTATCTGTTCTCAGATGATATTTTTAAAAATATTTTTTAATTGGGATATAATTGACATATTAGTTTCTGATGTACAGCATAATGATTTGGTATTTGTATATATCATAAAATGACCACCACAGTAAGTCTAGTTAACATCCATCACCACACAGTTACAATTTTTTTTCTTGTGATGAGATTTTTTTGAATCTACTTTCTTAGCAACTTTCAAATATACAATACAGTACTATTAACTACAGTCACTATGTTGTACACCACATCCCCAGGACTTATTTATTTTATAACTGAAAGTTATACAACACAAATGTACATATCTATGAAACAGAAACAGACTCACAGACATAGAGAACAGACTTGTGGTTGCTGGGAGGTAGGGATTGGGGGAGAGAAGGAATGGGAATTTGGGATTAGCAGATACAAACTAGTATATATAGGATAGGTAAACAACAAGATCTTACTGTATAGCACAGGGAACTATATTCAATATCCTGTGATAAACCATAATGGAAAAGAACATGAAAAAGAATATATATATATATATATATATATATATATACACAACTGAATCACTTTGCTGTGCAGCAGAAATTAACACAACATTGTAGATCAACTATGCTTCAATAAAGTATAAAACAAAGTAAAATACACTATTTGGGGTTAAAAAAAAGAAAGGCAACTGATTTCTGTATGTTAATCTTGTATCCTTCTACCTTGCTGAATTCATTTATCAGTTCTAGTAGTTTTTGTGTGGAGTCTTTAGGGTTTTCTATATATAGTATCATGTCACCTGCATATAATGACAATTTTACCTATTCCTTACTGATTTGAATACCTTTTATTTCTTTTTCCCATCTGATTGCTGTGGCTAGGACATCCAATACTATGTTGAATAGAAGTGGTGAGAGTGTGTAGCCTTGTCTCGTTCCAGATTTTAGCAGGAAGGCTTTAGCTTCTCACTGTTGAGTAGTATATTGGCTGTGGGTCTGTCATAAATAGCTTTTTTTTTGCAGTACACGGGCCTCTCACTGTTGTGGCCTCTCCCTTTGCAGAGCACAGGCTCCGGACGCGCAGGCTCAGCGGCCATGGCTCATGGGCCCAGCCGTTCCGCGGCATGTGGGATCCTCCCGGACCGGGTCACGAACCCGTGTCCCCTGCATCGGCAGGTGGACTCTCAACCACTGCACCACCAGGGAAGCCCAAATAGCTTTTATTATGTTGAGATACGTTCCCTCTATATCCACTTTCGTAAGGGTTTTTATCATGAATGGATGTTGAATTTTATCAAATGCTTTTTTCTGCATCTATTGAGATGATCATATGGTTTTGTATGGTGTACATGGTGTATCACATTGATTGATATGCTTATGTTGAACCATCTTTGTGACCCTGGTCATGGAAAGCTTGTTTTTTAAAAAGGTAAACAAAATTGACAAGCCTTTAGCCAGGCTGATTATAAAAAAGAGAGAGAGGGCTTCCCTGGTGGTGCAGTGGTTGAGAGTCCGCCTGCCGATGCAGGGGACACGGGTTCGTGCCCTGGTCCGGGAAGATCCCACATGCCGCGGAGCGGCTAAACCCGTGAGACATGGCTGCTGAGCCTGCGCGTCCGGAGCCTGTGCTCTGCAACGGGAGAGGCCACAACAGTGAGAGGCCCGCGTACCACAAAAAAAAAAAGAGAGAGAGAGAGAGAGAGAGACAGAGGGCCCAAATAAACAAAATAATAAGTGAAGGAGGAGAAATTACAATGAATATTACAGAAATTAAAAAATCATAAGAGAATACTATGAATAATTATAAGCCAATAAATTGGATAACCTAGAAAAAATGGATAAATTCCTAGAAAAATATAATCTCCCAAAACTGAACCAGGAAGAAATATATAATCTGAACAGACCAATATTTAGTAGTGAAATTGAATCAGTAATCAGAAAACTCCTAGCAAACAAAAGGACCAGACAGCCTCATATGGGAATTCTACTAAACATATAAAGAAGAGCTAATACCTATCTTTCTCAAGCTACTCCAAAAAACTGAAGAAGAGGGAACACTCCCAAATTCATTCTATGACTCTACCATTACCCTGATACTAAAACCAAAGACACAGCCAAAAAAAAAGAAAGAAAGAAAATGACAGGCCAACATATTAGATGTATATAGGTACAAAAATCCTCAACAAAATATTAGGAAACCAAATTCAACAATGTATAAGAAGAATCATAAACCATGATCAAGCCTGATTTATTCCAGGGATGCAAGGATGGCTCAATATCTGCAAATCAATCAGTGTGACACACCATATTAACAAATCAAGGGATAAAATCTCATGATCATCTCAATAACTGTAGAAAAAGCATTTGACAAAATTCAACATTCATTCATGATAAAAGCTCTCATCGGTGCTGGTGTAGAGGGAACATATCTCAACATAATAGATGCCATTTATGACAAACCCACAGGTAAAATCATACTTAATGTTGAAAACTGAAAGCTTTTCCTATAAAATCAATAACAAGACAAGGATGCCCACTATCACCACTTCTATTTAACATAATATTGGAAGTCCTAGCCACAGCAGTCAGAGAAAAAATGTCATGAAGAACCTATGGGTAAGACAGGAATAAAGACACAGACCTACTAGAGAATGGACTTGAGGATATGGGGAGGGGGAAGGGTAAGCTGTAACAAAGTGAGAGAGAGGCATGGAGATATATACACTACCAAACGTAAAATAGATAGCTAGTGGGAAGCAGCCGCATAGCACAGGGAGATCAGCTCAGTGCTTTGTGACCACATAGAGGGGTGGGATAGGGAGGGTGGGAGGCAGGGAGATGCAAGAGGGAAGAGATATGGGAACATATGTATATGTATAACTGATTCACTTTGTTATAAAGCAGAAACTAACACACCATTGTAAAGCAATTATACTCCAATAAAGATGTAAATAAATAAATAAATAAATAAATAAAAACTGTCAGTATTTGCAGATGACATGATACTATATACAGAAAACTTTTAAGCCTCTACCAAAAAACTACTGGGACTAATAAATGAATTCAATAACGTTGCATAAAAAGGTTAATATACAGATTTCTGTTGTTTTTCTATACACTAATAATGAACTATCAAAAAGAGAAAGCAGGAAAACAATCCTGTTTAAAATCACATCAAAATGAATAAAATACCTAGAATTGGCTTAAAAGAGGAGGTGAAAGACCTGTACTCTGAAAAATATAAGATGTTGGTGAAGGAATATGAAGATGACACCAATTAGTGAAAAAAATATACCACAATCATGGGTTGGAAGAATTAATAATGTTAAAATGTCCATACAGCCCAAAATAACCTGTAGATTTAATGCAACTCCTATCAAAATACACATGACATTTTCCACAGAACCAGAATAAATAATAATAAAATAGTATGGTACCACAAAAGTCCTTGAATAGCCAAAGCAATCTTGAGAAAAAAGAACAAAACTGGAGGTATCACACTCCCTGACTTCAGACTATACTATAAAACTACAGTGTCAAAATAGAATGGTACTAGCACAAAGACAGACATGTAGGTCAATGGAACAAAACAGAGAGCCCAGTTATAAAACTACACAAATATGGCCAATTAATCTATGACAAAGGAGAGAAAAATATACAATGCTGAAAAGACAGTCTCTTCAATAAGTGGTGCTGGGATAGCTACATGATAACTAAACAGCTACATGTAAAGGAATGAAATTAGAACCTTTTGTCATATGATATACAAAAATAAACAGAAAATTGTTTAAGACCTAAATGTAAGACCAGAAACCATAAAACTCCTAAAAGAGAACATAGAACACTCTTTGACATAAGTGGTCACAATATATTTTTGGATCTTTCCCCTCAGGCAGAGGATACAAAAGCAAAAAAAATAAACAAATGGGATCTAATTTAATTTAAAACCTTTTGCACATCACAGGAAACCATCAACAAAATGAAAAGACAAACTACTGAATTAAAATTTTGCAAATGATATATCTAATAAGGGGTTAATACCTAAAATATATAAACAGCTCATACAACTCAACATCAAAAAAAAGCAAACAACTCAATTTTTAAAAAGGGCAGAAGATCTCAATAGACATTTTTTCAAAGAAGACATGCAGATGGCCAACAGGCACGTGAAAAGATGCTCAACATCACTAATCATCAGGGAAATGCAAATCAAAACCACAATGAGATACCACCTCACATCCATTAATATAAACTATTATTTAAAAAAAAAAAACCCAGAAAGTAACAAATGTTGGTATGAATGTGGATAAATTGGAATCCTTGTACACTCTTTGTGGGAATGTAAAATAGTGCAGCCACTATGGAAAACAGTATGGCGGTTCCTCAAGAAATTAAACATAGAATTACCATACAATCCAGCAATTCCACTTCTTGGCATTACCCAAGGGAATTGAAAGCAGGGACTCAAATAAATATTTGTACAGGTATAAAAGGGCAAATATTATATATTTCCATCTACTAGAAGTACCTTGAGTAGCCAAATTCATAGGGCTGAGGGAAATAGTAATGGGGAATTATTGTTTATTACAGAGCTTCAGTTTTTGAAGATGAAAAGAGTTCTATGGATATAGATGGTGGCAATGATAGTAGCACAACATTGTAAATGTATAATGCCGCTCAGCTGTAAGCTTTAAAAGGTTTAAGATGGTAAATTTCAGGTTATGTGTATTTTACCACAATTTTAAAACCTCTTAGAAGAAAACTTATAAGTAAATCTATATTACCTTGGATTTGACAAAACATTCTTAGATATGACATCAAAAGCACAAGTAACAATAAAAATAAATAACCTGGACTTCAACAATATTAAAAAGTTTGTGTTTCAAAGCACACCAAAAATAAAATGGAAAGACCAACAGATTGGGAGAAATATTTGCAAATCATGTATCTCATAAGCAACTTGTATCCAGAATATATAAAGAACTCTTACAATTCAATAATAAAAAGATAAAAGCTCAATTAAAAATAGACAAAGGGTCTGAGTAAATTTTTCTCTTGGGAAGACATATTAATAGCCGATAAAAACATGAAAAGACCAAATATTATATAATTCCATTCATATGACATGTCCAGAACAGAGAAATCTGAAGGGAAAGAAGTTGACTAGTGGTTTCCTAGGGTTAGTGGAGAGGAGGGCTGACAGGTAGTAGGTGAGAAAGCTGAAGAGTATGGGATTTCTTTTTGAGAAATAAAAATGTCCTAAATTTCGTTGTCGTGATGGTTGCACACATTGTGAATAGACTAAAACTCACTAATTGTATATTCTAACGGGTGAGTCACATGGTATGTGGACTATATCTCAATAAAACCCTTTTTAAAAGAATTGATTATCAGCAAACATTTTTCAAAATCAAAAAAGTGAAACATTTTCCCACACTGGCTTTGGGGAAAAGAATATCTTATTTATAGTATCTTTGTCAGATACAAGTGACACTATATTACTAATATTGTTACTTATAAATTATACTTTCATTCCCACCTGTCAAATAGAACTGATATTCAGTAGTTAGAAGCTTACATTCATTGAGGTGTTCACGTGCGTGGTAGCTTCATCATCTGTTGGGAATTGGTATATCTGGATGCCATTACTAATCAATTCACTCATTATCTTACACTTAAATTTCTGTAAATCATTTTTAGAAATTGTATCTGCTTTGGCAATCAGTGGTATAATGTTCACCTATTGAGAAAGAAGCAAACAAAATCTCACCATTGAGGATTTGTTATTAATTTGTTATATTTACAGTCAAAACCTCAATTTCTGACAATAAATTTTCATAACTAGATAATCACTGGCTATCATGACTTCTTCACAGAATTACTTTCCAAAATCATCTGTACTTCTGAAGATTAATCTTTAATCAGAATTCAGGTTTAGAAATCTCAATTTTCTTTCTCAAACTTTCTTACACTTCCGACACATCTGGAGTTAGTAAAATGTAAGTAGCAAAATGAAGTATGATCAATTTGATTTCATTATCAATTTGATTTCTTATTAAACTGAGTATTAAAAAGTCAGAAGTCATCAAAATTATGGAACAGATCAACTTTGTCCTTCTACCTGTCATTCATTTGCATCATCTTCTCCATAAATGCACCTTAATCACTGTCCCATTTTCTAGGTAGAATCTTGTTCTACCTAGATGACCTTGCAGGTAGATCTGCTTGTGTTTTCCAAAGACCACCTAAAATTAGTAGACTTTTTTTTACTACACTTTAAAAGCTGAGTGTGTATATGTGTGTGTATAGCACCTTGCTAACAAAAAAAAGTCCATTTGTAATTTGTAAAAAGAAATGATTTCACATTGCATTTTTTTTTTTTTTTTTGCGGTACGCAGGCCTCTCTCGCTGCTGTGGCTTCTCCCGTTGCGGAGCACAGGCTCCGGACGCACAGGCTCAGCGGCCATGGCTCACGGGCCCGGCCGCTCCACGGCATGTGGGATCCTCCCGGACCGGGGCACCAACCCGTGTCCCCTGCATCGGCAGGCGGACTCTCAACCACTGCGCCACCAGGGAAGCCCCACATTGCATATTTGAAGTTGAAATTTTATACATAAAATTTTTCTTCCTAGCTCTACAATATGGTCATTCCTCCTCAATGAATTTACGTCTTAATAATTAAACTTTGTAGAAAATAACAATATAAAATTCCAAAATATGTTTTATTACTGTTAAAATAAATCATTACTGTTAAATCATAGCTACTCAACGTTAAGTTCTGTGATCTAGTAGAAATGCATAAAAGTCAGTTTTCGGTCTATTGCTTTTGTTTCAGGTTCCTTAAAAAAAATTCTTGTGAAAATCTAGGGCTTCAATATGATAATGTAGATGTTCAAAATTTTGTCTAATTTTTTTGGCGGTACGCGGGCCTCTCACTGTTGTGGCCTCTCCCGCTGCGGAGTACAGGCTCCGGACGCGCAGGCTCAGCGGCCATGGCTCACGGGCCCAGCTGCTCCGCGGCAAGTGGGATCTTCCGTGACCGGGGCACGAACCCGTGTCCCCTACATCGGCAGGCGGACTCCCAACCACTGCGCCACCAGGGATGCCCCAAAATTTTGTCTAATTTAAAAATCTTGAATAATAGCTTCCATAGTAAAAAGCAGACAACCGCTATGGTAGATTCAAGACTAACATAAATGTCTTGGGTTGTATTAGTGAGAAAGCTGGGAAAAGATATCCTCCGGTGATAGTAAATCATTAACACATGAGAAATGAAAACGCTTCATGTCAATAATTCCTCAGGTGTTCATATTTAAGGAACAAAAGTCACTTATTGCAAGGAGAGCTGAGAAACCTGTAAGAGAAGACCAGACAGACACACAACCTTGCCCAACGCTTTATGCAATGGTCTTTGCAAAACTTAGTAACTTCTTGTATCTGGAAATGGCTTGATGATTACAGCTGCCCATAAAATTAAAAATAAAACTGTGTGTCCTCGAGTATTGAATATAGTACTAATCGAGAAATTGAGACAGCTCTTAATTGTAACTAGAAATCTAACTTCTTTCAACTACTTGTTGACTTAGATTAAGTACCATGTTTCTTTCCAGTTTGAACAATACATAGCAAAGGTCAGGCCTTCTTTGATAAAGGGAACGCAATTTTAGAACTCTTCCTCCCTTCCACTGAATAAAGTTGAAGACAGCATGTTTTACCAGGGCTGAGTGCAGAAAAGGATCTCGTGACATAACAAGTTCTTTCATATGCACATTTGCTCTCTGTTGGAAAAAAAAATTATATATATTCTGAATTTTCTCTGACAGAACCAGTAGCCAGGATCATGAAAGCTTCACGTTTCACACCATCAGTGGTACCAGGTAAACATTAATGGCATTATTTTATAGTACTATAGAGTAAATTCTGTTTCAAAACTATAGGTAAATGACCATGAGCTGAATTATGATTTAATCACAAACCCCTAAATTAAAAAAAAATTTTTTTAAGTTTTTAAAATTTTTATTTTAGATTGGAGCATAGTTGATTAACAATGCTGTGTTCATTTCTGGTGTACAGAAAAGTGATTCAGTTATACACATACATGTATCTATTCTTTTCCAAATTCTTTTCCCATTTAGGTAATTACAGAATATTGAGCAGAGTTCCCTGTGCTATACAGTGGGTCCTTGTTGGTTATCTATTTTAAATATAGCAGTGTGTACATGTCAATCCCAGACACCCAATCTATCCCTCCCCCCCACCCTTCCCCTCTGGCAACCATAAATTCTGTTCTCTAAGTCTGTTTGTTTCTATTTGGTAAGTTCATTTGTATCAATTTTTTTTTAGATTCTGCATAGAAGTGATATCATATGATATTTGCCTTTCTCTGTCTGACTTACTTCACTTAGCATGATAAATTTTAAATTTTATTAAATTTTTTAAAACCTGTGTCTCATTTTCCTAACTGATACACATTCTAATTAAATTTCTCTGGAAAGGAAGAAAGGTTGAAATGTATCAAATGCTATTATGGGCTGAATATGTCTCCCCCTTCTCCCTCACACATATCTTAAAGCCCTAAACCCCAGTATCTCACAAAGTATTTGGAGATAGAACCTTTAAAGAGGTGATTAAGTCAAAATAAGGCCATGAAGATAGGCCCTAATCCAATCCCACTGGTGTCCTCATATAAAGGGGAAACTTGGACACACAGAGACATCAGCTGTGTGTACAAAGGAAAGATCATGTGAGGACGCAGTGAGAAAGTGGCAATCTGCCACCTAAAAAGAGGTTTCAGAAAAAATGAAACTTGGCGACACCTTGATCTTGAACTTAGAGCCTCCAGAATTGTGAGAAAATTAATTTCTATTGTTTAAACCACTAAGTCTGTGGTATTTTGCAATGGTATCCCTAGGAAACGAACACAAATGCTTTAAAGATTAACAAAAAAGGACTTCCCTCACGGCGCAGTGGTTAAGAATCCACCTGCCAATGCAGGGGACACGGGTTCGAGCCCTGGTCCGGGAAGATCCCATATGCCATGGAGCAACTAAGCCCGTGTGCCACAACTATGGAGCGTGCGCTCTAGAGCCCATGAGACACAACTACTGAGCCTGCGTGCTGCAACTACTGAAGCCCATGTGCCTAGAGCCTGTGCTCGGCAACAAGAGAAGCCACCACAACGAGGAGCCTGCGCACCACAATGAAGAAAGCCCGTGCAGAGCAACGAAGACCCAACACAGCCAAAAATAAATAAATTAATTAATTAATTTAAAAAAAAAGAATAACAACAAAAAAAGATATATATATACATATTACAAAATAACAAGTTCTCTGTGTGCAAATGCCTTCAAGTTTTGTATTATTTCACAATAAGTATCAAATCTTGATAGGTTGATAGATTGACCGAACGCACCTTACTGTCAATGTTCTTCATGGTTAATAGATCAAGGGATTTCAGAGAATGTCCTGTAGGTGAAATGAAGTAAAGGCACACATGGATACGGGAATCATGGTAGTCAACAAAGGAACGCTTAATTTTCAATTCTTCTTGAAGATAGGACTCAAATTGAGCATCTATGTAGTCAACTATCGGCTGGTAGCTGAAAAAATGATTATTTAAACATTTAGCATAACAGATTAATATCATCTGATGTCTGCATTTTTACCATTTAATATCTAGTTAATATGTGTACTCACTAGTTTGCCACAGTGATAAAATGTGCATAATATGTCCTTACAAAGATAACAGCTACAAGCTGTTACAAAGCAACAAAAAGTCCTACTGTTTATAGAAAAGGAAAAATGATCTATCAGTTCAATGAAGTTCAAATCAGAAAACAATTTTTTTATATGTATACATATGTATAAGTGCAAAGAACCAAGAATGCTCAAAACATACTGAAAAAAAATGAAGGAGATATATTCTTCATATATCACGTCTTATTATGTATGAAGTAAAATAATTAATACAGGATGGTATCAGCACAAGGATAAATAGACTAAAGCACAAGAGAATTTTTGGATGTGACAGAACTGTTCTATGTCACAACTAAGATGGTGGGTATAAACTCTATGCATTTTTTAAAACCTACAGAAATATACACCACAAAAATTGAGTCTTACTGTATGTAAATTTTAAGAGTGCCACCAGTATCATGACAGTGAATACATCTCTTCTTTTGCCCCCCTGTTTAACAGCTAATAATTGGATCCACCCACAAACAAAAGTACCTCTGTGGGAGATGGGACACAGCACCACATGCCAGGGAACAAGGAGGAATCTTGCCCAACTGTATGGCAATAGGGAGACAGATGTCCATACAGGCTGTGGAACCAGCAGGAGCCAGTGAACCTGCCACACCCTCTTGCATACAGTCGTGGAAAAATTGAAGTGTGCTGACTTGGACACATACCCACAGATGGGAGAGACCTGTAGTAGTTCAGCAATCCATATGGCAGATTCCAGCACTTCGTGGAGAATAAAAAAGAATTTGGATGCGCTGGAGAGGGTAAGAGGAATTTCGCCAGTGTCAATGCTGCCCCAAAACAACACAGCACAGGGCTGAAATAGTCATCAGTAACCTCTCCCACAAGAGAATGGGAGGCTGTGAGTGAGTGCCCAGCACCCAGTGCCTGGCTGTGCAGGACATTGTTGGAAAAAAACATTTCTCTCCAGCAGCACCTAGAATACTGAAGCCGGAACTCCATGACTAGGGGCAAAAGGACAGCAGGAAAGAGGTAGATAAGAATATCAAAGGGCATTAAAGGGACATGCTGACCAAGCTCAGGACTTCAGCAGG